CACAAGACAGCAAAGCGGTCAAAGTTGGAGGTCTTCGCTCTTAGGTTAGAGGCCGTCGAAGGCAGGTTGGGGGCCATCGCTAGTAGGTGAGAAGAAGCACAAGACAAACAAGACATCAAAACAGCAAAACAGCAAAAGTTGGGGGTCCATTCTAGTGGGTGGAGGCCAAAGTTCAAGTTAAAGAACCCCTTACAAAGTTTGGAGGCCTACCTGTAACCTATAGGGTAGCCTTAGAGGAAAACAGAAGGAAAGGCACCGACACACAAGTGTGTCGAGTACCATTTCCTCCTGTTTTCCTAAATAGGGGAACAGGTACGGAAGTTTGCGTCCAAACTTCCATCCAGTCGATTTCCATAGCTTCATTGGCGTGACTAGGAAATCGACCGTCACGCCCCCTGTTCCAAACCTTAAGGTTCCCTCTGACTCCAAGGGTTACACACACACACACACACACTTGACATTACTTGAGATTTAGCTGAAGCCCTGAAGATGTCTATGTAAGCCAAACAGGCTAAATCGACAGATTCAAGTCTGAGCATAAGAGCAGCGGCATCCTGCATACTGTTCATATTTTTGGTGTAAATTCTTGGGACCCTTTTTTGTTCATGCGGTTTCTCTTTTTGGGGGGACCTGGATGTGATTTTAGGAGAGTGCTCCTTAGCTCGATTTGCGTAATTTGATTTAATTTTCACCAATATGGCCTTGCAAAGAAGTCAAAAACATGCGAGCGCTTTGAGTCTTTATATATATTATATATTATTGTGCTAGAAGTGACGCACGTAATATATAGATGCTCAAGTTTCAAGTGTGCATGCAGAATATTCAGAGGGCTGCCCACTTCTGAATTTTTCAGCCATCCAGGGTTCCTTGCAGCTGCTTGCAGCTCCTCCCGTATGCTTGTGCAGCATATTTAGGGTACCCAGTGGCCCATTGTTGTGTACAAACCACCGGCAGTGAGTCCTCTCAATCTCCAACGGAGACATGCACTGCTTTGATTGATATGACAGAGTCGTAAGGCCGTGCCGGTAACAGCCGACCCCAAGTCAAGTTCGGATTCCAGTGCTCGAAACTCAGACAGGGCAGTCTTCCAAAGTGCACATAGAGTGGATGCTGGCGTTCCCTCCTACATGTGCTCTTAGAGATCATTGTTTTCCATGCCCACACCGGTGTTTGAACATAATTCTCTTTTTCTGACTAGCTGGAGTTGTTCAGAACTCAGCTGAGTTGTAATGAACCGAGACTAAACAGGGCGACTCCAGAAACGGTACAGTATGACCTGACGCACAGATCAGGTGGCAGAAAAAGTCATACCAAAGCGACGCTCTGAGAGCAGCTCAAAGTAGGGCCATCATTCCAGAATTTCAATTTCTTTTTATAGACTTGCTTAGCGATGGGAACACATGATTGAAGAGTGATAGTGAATGAGAATCATATCTTGGTCGAACATCTTGGATGTCCAACGCATGAACTCCATCACTGGTGATAAGCATGAATGTCCGCACACCACTTGCATCAGGCCTAGCCAGCCTCCGGCGAAGGACAGTGGAGAAAGTTCATAGTTTCATAGGTTTTCAAGATTTTCCAATGTCAGGTTCAAGCAGGATCCAGTCACCCCAGTCTCACAGTGTCTCAGCCCTTTTTCACTGTCCAATCAAGTGGGCGCTCTGTTTCATGACAATGTAGAGGCCTTTGACAAAAGCCAAATGCTTGGTATTCGAAATCAACAAAAAGCTCACACAAAAAGATGGAAGCTATACTGTAGGGGTTCTTAGTCTTGATAACCAGGCTTTGATCGCAACATACCGCACCTTTTTGCGAACCCTGGAACTGTGGAACTTTTTGCTACCCTGGCGTTCTGGAGCCAGACAGGTTTTGATCGCATTCTGGAGCCGTCCCCTGATCCCACCGCGTTGCTTTCCCTTTGCTACTAGTAGCTTCTTGTTCCTAGTAGTAATGCCAGGAGCTACTAGTAACTAGTAGCGTTCTTGCTCCTAGTAGAAATGCCCTTGTTACTAGTAGCTTCTTGTGACTTACTTCACTACCAGTGTAGCCGGATCCAGTTGGCGTTTTTGGTTAGCGGCTATAGAACAACCGCATACAGCAAGTACACCCTGTGAGTCTTTTTATCCAACGTGCTATCTAGGGTCTAGGCCGGTGAAATGCACACGATTTTGGACACAATCACATCATCTACCTGCCCACAGGCCCCGCCAGTTGCTTTGATGAGAAAGACCTGAGTCTCCCTGCCAACGGGCAAAGCTGGCTTTGTCGAGTTCTTGTCTCTAGCATCATAGTTTCGATCAGCATAGGCCTATGTAGCATAGTATCACTTTCTTCAACTTTTCTCCGCTGGCAGGGGATCCCGACCCTGAAGTTTGGACAAAGATCCCGCTGTCACCCTTAGTGAGACTTAGCGAACGTGAACCATATGACTTGGTGAACACTTTGAGTATCTCTTGTCATTGCACCCCTTCAATTGGATGCTCAACCAGGTGCAAATCTGAGTGGCAGTGACGTTGAAAATCTAAACTTCAGGTCCCGACATCAAGGGAATTTGGAGCACACCGTGAGTGGGCTCCAAAAAGTCTTGCAGTGGACAAAACATGGTGCGCTGTGCCTGCGCAGACCTGGTCTTGCAGCGCTTGATCCCACAGCATGTCTTGCTGTAAAATTCAAATCCCCAACAAAAGAAGAGAACGGCCTCACTCACCACTGCAGGAACTATATATTCCATATGAACCCAACCCCGGGGCACGTTTCCCCGCGCTCAGTTGGCCGCCCAAGCCGCCCATTGTCCGCTTCAAAGCTCAGATGGAGCTGGGGGGCCTGGCCGGACCTCGGAGACGGACACGGAAAACGCCAGCGACCTAGGAGTTCTAATAGCAAACAGTTTTAAGACCAATGGCCTCCAACCTACTGTAGTAGCTTCTTGTTACTAGTAGTGGCCTCCAACCTAATAGCGATGGCCTCCAACCTGATAGAGATGGCTTCCAACCTAATAGAGATGGCCTCCAACCTAATAGAGATGGCCTCCAAGCTACAAATTGTGTTGTATTTTTTAGATCCCGACTGAGATATTTGGACTTGGCAAATCGGTTTGGACGTTTGGACTTTCTGCAGGGGAACGCATGCAAATGATTACTCCAGCACTCAAGCTCCACGGCTGTAGTGTAGCACAAGCTTGCATGACAGATCATCACAAGACAGAGGTGTAGTGGCAGTTTGTTCAAGTTCGATTTGTTCTTTTGGACAATTTTTTTGGTTGTTTCACTATCCTCGCAACAGCCGGAGCTTGGGATCTCCAGCGATGATAAGAGTGATATGGCAGAGGCCACAACAAAGAAATTCATAAAGCAAAGGAGGCCACATCTTGTTTCTGGGTCCGACACTGCCCGAGGTTTTCCAAGCAGTTCAAGGCACAAATGCATGTCTTGGATCAGACGGTGTGCTCTTTCCAGCATTTGGCTTCACAGGTTGTGTTCGTTAGAGGAAAGATCCTCATCTATCCTCATGTGAGGGATAGTCTACCCAATCGGTCCTGAATCCTTTCGGCACTTTGTCACACTGGACTGGCGCCAGGGAGAAACCAAAGAGGAGAAAGAGAAGCGGCAAGAAACCTTGAACTTGGTGGGATTGGGGGACTTGGAAAATTGTGCGCTTGTCGCTGTTGCGTTTGTTTGTTTGGTTGGTTGGTTGGTTGGCCGGTTGTTTACCTACTTGCTTGCTTGTTCAGTTCTTTAATTGGTTCAGTTCTTTTAATTATTTGTTCCTTGAACATCGCTGCCCAGCGCATGAATAGACATACTGTAAGTAGATTGCAGACTTTAGCATGGTTAAACGAGGTCGATTAGGCACAAATCACAAATGTGCCCACAATTCAGTCACTTCATGCGCTCCAGGCGGATGAAGAGAAAAGACTTCAGGGCAGTGATGAAATTCTTCAGGATTCCAATCCAAGCTTTTGCTGCTTCGGTTTTTGGGTCCTGGAATCTTGCTTGGGAATAACAACAGTGATGAGTCTTTGTTTTAGTAATTATATAGGTCCTAAGGAATGAACTTATTGCCATGACAAATCAAATGGGTTTGGACAAATGTTCATAAGACGGAACTGCAAAGCATCGGGGTGTTTTTGACGAGGACATTACGCTAACATGGATCAACATGTACTTCAAACTGGACGTGCTGACTGAGCGGCATCTCATTGTCGGATGCTTGCGACAAGCGTTTTTTGCACCTTCGTATGACGTAGAGATGCTCAGGCAAGCTTCCCGATCATTGTGTTGTGCATGATGGATGTGATCTACCCAAAGAAGGTGAGATGGCACCAGGCCGCATGAAGCATACGAGGTGATGCTCACAGCATGTCGTCAAGGACACCATTCAAAAAGCAAACCGTTCTTTTTTTCAATTTTTCCCCTGATCGCTGCTAGCGCCACCAACATCACGTTCTAGCGCTGCTAGCCCCTTTCTTTCCATGTTGACCGAGTCTCGCAGGTCAACTGGAACACAGCCTACATGCGAGCATGAGCCTCAACGATGGGAAATCTGCCTTTCTATGTCTTTCTTCCGTATCATAGAGCCCTTTCGGACAGATGGGCCAGCATGATGGCAGCAGTGCAAATGAGTTCATTTTCCACTCTTCTAGCCAAGACATTTTGCGATGCAGACTCACTCTTCCCTGGTCAGGCACTAAAGCAGAATCATGCCGTTCTGGAGAAGCACTGGTATGAGGCAAGCCTCTGGTGACGAGCTGGGGAACTTCCAAGCACTGTATCGCATTTGTGCTTTGTGATGCTTGGTGTCTCAAACCGGCGCAACTCAGCTCGATGCAGGTCAATATGAATAAGGTCAAGGAGAGCTTGATTCTGTGCGAGTACTGCCCAAAGTTCTGCCACTTTCACAAGTCCTTCTCTGTGGGTGTCAGGACCTGCGAAGTGAAAAGATTGGTCACATCGATAAGTTGTTGCATGCGCCCAGTGATGAGGCCAGCCTCCTTCAAGGGACTACACGGCTGCTTGCCAACAAAGACCACTTCTCCAAAGATAGGAAAGGTATCCATAGACTACTCCCATTTTCGTGAGTGCAGTGCCTGCGCTAGTTTGTTTCTGACCCCACCTGCTTTTCACGGCGCAGATCATAGGAGTGCCATCCAACCCCAGACAAAGCATCTGACGTGAAACTGCCCGACTGCTTGGACACCTGCCAACCTTTTGTCGAAGTCCTGAAAGCTGGTCCCAAACAAACAAGGCCTTCACACTTGGAAGGCCTCAAGAGGCAGATCCATGCCTCAAGAGGCAGATCCATGATCCAACCGACCAGTTTGGTTTTGCATGCTGGGAGATGTTTGAATGTTTGGAGCTTTCTTAAACCACAACCAACCAAATTGTGGTCAGTCAGTCAGTCAGTCAGTCACAAGGGCTTGTCTCCTCAGTTTGTTTGCGCCTGCGCATTCATTTTCAGTAACTGGAAAAGTGCAGCATATTTTTTCATATTTTTTCGATGCATTCGTGCGTGTTGTGTATCGTATGATTTCTTCGTACCATGTCCTCTATTTTCTATACAATCTGCCGAAGCTTTGGCCAGAAGCTGAGCTTCTTGAAGCAAGTGAAACGCTGGTTCGACTGTCGGCCGGGCCTGGCATGTTTGACTTTGGAGCGAGGCCATCTGACTGGAGCGGAGTGAAAAGTGGGTCGGGACTCTCACGACTCTTGCAGGGTCTTGCACTCGAATGCCTACGACCCGATCAAGCGACGCACTGAGATCGAAAAGCAGTGCCTTGGCAGAGATCCAATGAGTTGGTAGAGAACACCAGGTCCATGATGGTGCCAGGGAACTCTTGAATACAAACACAAGACAATATAGTTCATAAGACCATAAGACTATCCACTCCACCGGCTGTCAACTGGATAGGCTATCCGTGGATAAGGGCATGGATTCGGTCTTTCCCACTGGGTGTTGCTCTTCTTAGGATTCGGCTCTCTGGGCGATGGATGAAATTCCCTTCGTGGATGCAGTTCGACAAAGAGGTGCCGCCAGCTGTGCCATTGATCCAACACGCTAGATCCTGCGCTTGCGCTGGCGCGCAGGAGATCCAGGCCAATCGTGCAAGGAAGCCAGATCCAAAGATTCCAAAGCTCCGTCCTGAGTTTGGTTCAGTTCCATCACTACTACGGACTGGAAAGTCTGGAGCATCGTTGCAGAATGTGATAATATAAAGACACTTTACACACTCTGACATTGGTTTTCAGTTAGACTCAATTGCCACGTTGGGAAGGAAGGTGAGGGAACGGAAAGGCGAATGGGTCCGATCACTTGAAATGTTAAACATTGTTTCACTCGCTCTGCTGGCTGCACGGTACAAGCGGCTGAAAGCTGCAGTGGAAAACCTGTTTAGGGGTGGTAACATGAACAACCATGGAATCAAACGGAGCAAATTAGACAGCGTGGTCAAAAGTTCAGGTTGCAGGTACGTCGAAGAGCGTCCTCTTTCGATATCCTAGTCTGAACCTGGAGCTTCGTTGGCTCACGCCAGGAACAGACCCGTGAGCCCCCTGCTGTTGTGGGATGCAAGTTCAACAAAAACCCTTGGAAACAGGGTGCGACACACACAAACAGCCGATTCCGGCGCAAGTGTGCAGAACGTTGAAGGTGGAGCTTTGTACAAAAAGCGCCAATATTGGCGCTGCGAAAAACTAATAGCCACCTAAAAAGCCTTAGAAAGACAGACAAAGCAAACAAAACAAAAGCAGACTAAGAGGGCAAGAAAGAAAGATAGGGGTAGTTACGAGGCCCACTTAGTTAAATGAAAGTAGAGCGCGAGCGGGACATTTGTCTTAAACCGCCCGGGTAGCTAGCAATAGGCTAGGAGAAACAGAAGGAAAGGCACCAACGCACAAGTGTGTTGAGTGCGATTTCCTTCTGTTTCCCGAGTAGCGGGTGGGGTAGCAAAGGGGCCCAGGGGTAGGGAGGGGGAAAAAATGCACAGTGAATTGGTCCGGCCTGTGATTACTTAGCAGCACATGCACATGTGAATACGTAGCCGTCAAACATCTCAGTTGCAGAAAGGTGCTGAAAGGTGGGGGATTCCGTCGTTTATAGCCCGGCGGCTCGAAAATCAGTAAATTCAGTGATAAATTGGACAAACAGAAAGTCGGAATGGCTTCAGCGCCTCCTTTCGGAGGGTCACGCCCAGTACCCACGTGGGAAGACTGAGCGGTTCACACTCTGACATTGGTTTTCAGTTAGACTCAATTGCCACGTTGGGAAGGAAGGTGAGGGAACGGAAAGGCGAATGGGTCCGATCACTTGAAATGTTAAACATTGTTTCACTCGCTCTGCTGGCTGCACGGTACAAGCGGCTGAAAGCTGCAGTGGAAAACCTGTTTAGGGGTGGTAACATGAACAACCATGGAATCAAACGGAGCAAATTAGACAGCGTGGTCAAAAGTTCAGGTTGCAGGTACGTCGAAAGAGCGTCCTCTTTCGATATCCTAGTCTGAACCTGGAGCTTCGTTGGCTCACGCCAGGAACAGACCCGTGAGCCCCCTGCTGTTGTGGGATGCAAGTTCAACAAAAACCCTTGGAAACAGGGTGCGACA